CATCTTCCTTCCGAGGAGTGGCTGGTGGGTTTGAACTGCCAGCCTTCTGGTTAGCAGTCAAGTGCCTTAGGCACTATGCTACCAGAGCTCCTTTTATTAGCATAGTATTTTTTAAAAATTCTAATTCACAGAGTTGCATAAATGATATATTTTTAAGCATTTCATATTTTAAGGAAGTAAGTATCTTATAATTTAATTGGAAATTTTTCAGTTCAACTAATTCATAAAGTTTGTGGGGAGTTAGAATATTTTTTGTTTCAAAGCTGACTTACTAAGATTACTTGCTGGAATTCTTTGACATAAACATAAAATCATGTAAAAAGCACTCATAACTATTTACAGACAGGTATCATCTTATAAATGATCCCTGGTTGTGCAGTGGTTAAAGTGCTTGGCTGCCAACTAAGAGGTCAACAGTTTGAACCCACTGGTTCCTCTGTGGGAGAAGGATGCGGCATTCTGCTTCCGTAAAGATTACACCTTTGGAAAGCCTATGGAGCAGTTGTACTCTGTCCCATAGGATTGCTATGAGTCAAAATTGACTCAACAGCAATGAATTTGGTTTGGTTATCATCTAATATGTAGTGTTATTTCCTGGAATGGCACAACTAGCAAGTACCCTGTAACAGGAACAGGTTACCCTGTAACCTACTATATTTGTTTATACAACTTAATAATATGAGTGTATATATATAAGCCTGAAAACCAAGGAGGACCATTGCAAGCTTAAAATATTATTACTCCAATGGCCTATTTACCTAAGATTCAATTATAGTGTGATGAAAGCTTTACTTGGAAGTCAGCACAGAAATATACTACCTTGGTGATATGTTGAGGTGTTAGTGTATACCAGTTTGTTTTATAACATGTTTAAATATATGCATGTTACTTTTATTGTGGTTTTAATAGTTATAAATGTATTTAAACAAATGAAATTTGAATCCACCATTTGCCTCTGAAACACTGTTGAAAATGAAAACACTTCTCTATTCTTTGACTAATTTGTGATGTTTTTGTATAGACTGTAAGAGTACACTATGGAATGGGTCTGCTTTTGCAGCTCTACATAGAGGCAGACCTCCAGAACTACCTGTAAATTATGTGAAACCTCCAAATATGGGTGAGTAGTATTTTTGTGAGTTGAAAGTATTTTTACTTACAGCAAATAGAACCATGGTTTTATAAAAGTTGGATTTTTAAAAATTTCTTTCCTTTTTCAAAATTAGTCTTTCTTAGGAGAAGCATTTCCTTTTTATATAATACAGGTGTTTTCAACCATATGGATTTCTGTTTACCTGTTTGTGTGCTGAGCTTCCCAGAGATTTAATGGGAAACTACATAAAGGTATACAGAAGTACATTCTGCTTATGTCTGTTCCTAAACTTACAATGATGTTGTTTATACATTTTATATGTCTTTAAAACAAAAGGTTCCTTCGCAGTTCTAGTTTACTAAAACTCACATGTCACATTAATATTTTTCTTGGGGCATCTCTGGTAGAACATTATTTAGAAATACTAGTAGTGGTTCCCAAGGAGATTAAGTTATAAAACCATTTTATATTAAAGCTCTCACAAAGTATGTGCAAAACTAAGCTGCTAGATGAATAACTGCCATTCTGCTTTCCTGTTTACTCACTCTGAAAAAATTCCATAATTTTGTATAGGGCCTAGATAATATGCCTTAAGTTTTGAAAGTGATAAATTTCAAATGGATAACCTTTTTTTCCTTTTCCTAAGAATATTCATTTACACAATAAGCTTACAGAATTTATTTATCTCCAGAGATTAAGTAGATTGAGTCTAGAAATAATTTAAAAGATATTTAGAGCAAATTATTGATTAAAAATTCACAAAGGTTATTAAGAGAAATTGGATACTTTGAAATATATAGTTGACAATACTCTTCCATAGTCTGGATGTTACTAGAAAAAGTAGTCTACTAGATTGGGTCTAATTGGATCTCTTTTCTTTATTTTTGAGTTTTGAGAGTTATTCATACATTCTGGATACAAGTACTTTATCAAATGTGTGTTTTGCAAATAGTTTCTCCTAGTCTGCAGGTTGTCTTTTCATTTCTTTAACAGTGTCTTTCAGAGAGTGGAAGTCTTTAATTTTCTTATTATGTGCAATTTATAAGTTTTGTCTTAAAGTTTATGCTTTTTTTTGTTCTATGTAAGAAATCTTTGCCTAATTCAAAGTCAGAAAGATTTTCTCCTGTATTTTCTTCAACATGTTCTATAGTTTTATGTTTTATATTTAGATCTTTGATCCATTTTGAGTTTTTATTTTTATAAGGATTAGGTTTAGTTTGCATTTGGATGTTTAATTGTTCCAGTTCCATTTGTTGAAAAGGTTAGCCTTTCCCCACTGAATTCTCTTGTCATATTTGCCAAAAATCTATTGCCCATATGTGTCAGTCTGTTTCTAGATTCTCAGCTACTTGAATCCTCCCACTTGGCTCTCATTTTTTCAAAATTGTGGCTTTTCTAGGTCCTTAACATTTTCATATAACTTGTAGAATCAGCTTCTCAATTTCTACAAAAGAAAACCTACTGGGTTTTTGCTTCTGGTTGCATTGAATCTGTAGATTAATTTGGGGAGAATTGCCATCTTAATAACATTGAGCCTTCCAATCCATGATTATAGTATCTCTCCACTTATTTAGGTCTTTATTTTCTCAACGCAGTGTTTTCTAATTTCCAGCTTACAATTCTTGACCACATATTAAGAAATTTTTCCTTAAGGATTTCATGGAATTTTAGGTTGTTTTTTTTTTTTCAAACTTCAGTTTCTTATTGTTCTTTCTTACTAAATAGAAACACAATTTTTTTTTTTAATTTTGACTTTTCTAAATTCACTTACTAGATCTATTCCCTTTGTTTCTGAGATTCTTTGAGATTTTCTAGATAATTATGTAAATAATCATAATGTCTGCAAATAAAGACAGATTTACTTTTTCCTCCCCAAATCTTATTAGCTTTATATGTCTTTTTCTTACGTTACTGAACTGGCTGGTACCTCTAGTGCAGTTGTGAATAAAAGTGGTTATACAGGAAATTCTTGCCTTTTTACTGCTCTTAGGGAGGGACACAGGCAGTCTTTCACCATTAAATATGACCATAAGATGCCCTTTATCAGTTTAAGGATATTCTCTTTTATTTTTACTTTGCATAGCATTTTTATCATAAATGGATGTGTCCCTGCAATCTTTTAATTTGTCCAGTATGTTTAGAATTACACCAGTAATTAATCGGGCTCATTTAACTGGTATTTTATGTAATACAGTGTTACCAATAGAAATTTCTGTAATGAGTTCTATTGTGTGATTTCTGGAACAGTAGCTACTAGCCACATGTGTCTATAGCAACTGAGTAACTAAATTTTAAATAATTTGGAATTCAGCAACCACATTGGATAGTGGCTATTGTATTGGACAGCACACATCTGGAACAATACATTGGTAAGCTGCCTTTATGTGCATAATTTGGTAGCGTATTGACTAATGACTCATTTTACAAATTTAACTTTGAATGCTGCCTATTTTAATATTTAGAAACTACCTTCAGCTTTTCCTATTTTGACTTTAGTAACTCACTTTAAAGATCATAGTGTGCACAATATTTTTCCCTTTGTGCAGTTAATCAACATTATTTAGTAATCGAATGAAATGGAGGTGAGGAGCATAGAGATGCTATTTGGGAGTTTATTCCCAGATTCCATTCTCCAGACTACTGTAATACTTTAAATATACAGGTGTTTAAGTTTACTAAGGGTGAATTTGTAAATTCCTCTAGGGCAACAGCAACAATGCCTGTGATATTTACATTATTATAGCGCTAAGCTCCAGTAATGCCATTTCATTAGCTGTCTAACTAATCAAATTGTTGCATGTGCCAAATTTAATTTAGAGAAGAAAATAGAACTATATACCTAATAATATGCCTAATAGCACTCAATGAAATCTTGGGCATGTGTAGTTAATATTTGTAGTTTTGTTTGAGATCTTACATTATTATTACTACAGGTTATTATGTTGTGATCCTTTTAAAAATTAGTATTTGTTTTGAAAAGTTTATGGTGGTTACACTAGAATTTGAAATTGAAAAACTTCTCTGCTTAGTTTGTCAATTCACAGGTAATTTTCAAAGTGTTTTTCATGTCTATTTGAAATGTATTTTTGCAAGAACTAGTGTGGTATTATCCATCATGGTAAAGGTTTCATACATTTTCGTAATGATGGTATTCTAAACAATTTTCATAAAACTTTCCTTAGAAAAGTTAGCAGGATGGCTTGTTCTAATATGAGACTAACATACTCAAGGAACAAATGTGCATGCTTACTCTTCTGAATTGAGTCAAGGACATAATGCAGTAAGACTCTGTTTTTAAACTTTTTCTCCTTTTATCTTCAGTACAAATGGCATATAGCAGTGTCCTATAATTTGCATAGTAGATGTGTAATTTACACTGTGTGTCACTCAGAAGGCTTGCATTGTTTAAGCAGTAAATTGTTATTTACATATTACCATAAACATCAATTTAGTGTTGATTGGCTCTTGACGTATTAGGGGTGGAAAACCACTGTCTCTTGTTAATAACTAATTGTAAATTAACATCAGTTGCCCTCAAGAGGATTCCTACTCGTGGCAACTCCATGTATTGCAGAGTAGAACTGCACTCTATAGGGTTTTCAAGGCTGTGACCTTCTGGAAGCAAATTGCCAGGCCTGTCTCCTGAAGTGCCGTGTGTGGTTTCAAATTGCCAACCTTTTGGTTAGTAGTCAAGAGCTTAACTCTTGGAAACACTGAGGAACTCCTAAATTTTTTGTTGTGTGTATGATTTTTATTTGTACAGTTGTTTACAAAGTAAACAAAGTAAAGACTGCATCAGGGAAAGTCTAGAAAAACACCACCTTAAAACAATGGTACTTGTGAATTCATAATGTTACGGTGAGGAAAGAGCCATGTTGTAAGTCCTAACCAGAACTCAACTCACACATCAAAGGAGAGAAAACAGGGTGGTTCATTCTACTTCTTGATTTACAGTATAAATTAGACCAAGTACAAGAAAGAGCTTGTGCTGGGACAGAACCCTTGTGAGTACAAAAGCTGAATTCAGATTTTTTAAATCTTGAGAAAAAGGTGAACTCTATATAGAAAAAACTTGGCACACTGTCTTACTTCATTATAATTTACGTATTTCCACAAAATGCTTATATAACTTCTGAACATACAAAGCAGGCTTCCAATGTCCAGTTAAACATGCTCTTGAAGGGAAAATCCAGCCCACTTTGTCAGATCTGGGCACATCTGCCGAAGTTCAGGTGAAGTTCTCTCCTGTCCTGAAGAAACCATGAAAGTTGGCAATCTCAAAACAATAAAAACACTGGTATGCATTCAGACCTTGAATAAATAACTTTTAAACAATTTGTACAAAAAATAGTTTTGCATAATGTAAGCTGTAAAAAAACAAAATATATTGAGACAGTGGCAGAGATTAGCTTTGTGGTTCACTTTATGAGGATGCCAGGAGCCTTGTTGGAGTTGTTGGGAATGAGGTGTCCAAAAATAAAAAAAAAAAAAACACTGCCACCAAAGACTCCTAAGCCTATGGTGAAATAAGAGTTCTCCAGAACCCATCCTACACATATGGGAATGTCTTCTTGCTCAAGACCACCATGGAAACGGGCCAGAAAGCAGTGAAGTCATGGTTCAGAAGGACCAAAGGAAAGGGTCCAACTCACTCATTCCAGAAATATGCCTACTGGGATAGCTTTTTCCTTAGCATGACTTGCAAAATGGAATTATTCTGTGGTCTGTTGTTTCAAGTTCCAAATTGAAAGTAAAATCCCTCTCTCTCTCTCTCTTTTTTTTTTTTTTGTGTGTGTGTGTGTGTGAAGTCTTTCCCTTTCATGGTCTCCTCCCTACCCTATGCTGTCCACCCAGTATTTACAT